GTTTCGTGTGTAAGTATTTTCTCGCGTTTTCGACACACCCAATGCTCAATGCGTACAATGTATTCGTATGCTTTGAGATAAAGTACTTCAACAATGAGTCTAAACATAGATAGTCTAGTGTGTAATTGCCGACTGTGCCTGTCTGCGTGCGACGTCAGATAGCCCAAGGTCATCAGTGATCAAGTTCCCTGTTAGTGTAGCTGCCGTGATACTGTCGCTACTCCATCGTCTCATAGTTTTTTTCTCCGAGATTCCGGAGAGTTGTACTGCTGGGTGAGGGTCCCGAGTCAACAGGCACAAGTGTGTGCGGTGCAACACCGCAGCAGGAGAGGGGGGCACCCCAACAGCAATTTCAGTTCAAATCCAGCTGACGCCATTCAATAGTACTCCACCTNTTGCCGATAAGTTTGAATCCTACAGTGGAATTGGCAAATCTTAGTTCCCTAGATAGCTACTGGTATAGTCTACAGCTGTAAACCTTTAGCCTTGGGTGGATGTACGCCGGTCGCGCTGCTAATCTGTGTAAAACGATATTTTTTGTTCCTCCGCTTACTTTTTATTTTTTTCAGTCGTGCAGCACTGCAGCAGTGCGGCCCACCTCATCTCCTTCCACCACGGGAAACTTTCTTCGAATTTTTTGTATAGTCTAGAAGGAGAATGGAAGAACGCCGTGTTTTTTTTTTTTTTGCTTTTTCGTGAATCTGGCCTGCGTCCTGTTGTGTTTGCGCCTTCCTCAAAAGCCCAACTTTGGCTTTTGTGTTGTGTGACACGGAAAAGGCCAGGTGGAGCCGAACTTCAAAGGCACGCCATTGCATATAATACAAGGTGAGTGCATCAGTTTGTGCGATCCGAGGGGAGAGAGGGAAGGAGAGTCACTGCATCAACCCTCGCACACACCGGATCCTGAACATCGATCAACCATGTGGTTCCCAAACCTGTCGCCCAAACATCACCAGCTGGCTTTTGTATCACACGCGACTCGTGTATAACAGCGGCATGTGGCTCCCACGGGGAATCAAGCCCCCCCCCGCTGGCCTTGAGCGTCGTGTTTCTCGAGTGATCTTGTGACGGCAACAGGACGAGGTCTTGTCGATCGTGGTTTATGGTTTGATGATTACTGGCGACACACACGGACCGACGGAAGGCGGAAGGTGGTGACATTGCCCCGCGTTTTTGTGTTTTCTGGTCACCAACCTCGGAAGTTCGCCTGCTCGTTGGTGACTGCCGCTTTGTGCCGAACCAGTTGCCTTGGCATGCCAGTCGCGCCCGCTATTTAATACTTTGAGGATGTCTCTCGTACGTCCGGCGTTGAAATCAGGACGTTTGCATACATAACTAGGCAAGGCGTGTATCCGGAAGGCTCTGATGCAGGCAGTCTATATGTACTTACCACCCTGGGCTGGTCTAGACGTCTCGACACACGCCACCCGTGTTGCCGGCGACAGCTTTGTTCTCCTCGCCTGCACCGCTAGGCCGTGGCGGGGTATTCTCAACGATGTTGATTGCCGCTGGCTGGACCGATTCGCTTACGATGATGACCGCCGACACGACGATACGTACATGTGCCAACCGCATGTGTACATGTTCCAGTCAAGACAATGTTCTACAATACTACTTAACGGGTAATCGGGGATGTGTGCAGTATTCGGTCATTTTTACTGACCATCCCTCCGAAACCGCTTCTCTACCACAAGCAGCAGTACATGTAGTACCAGTCATCCCCTCCAGCAGTGCAAAAGAGGGAACTCGGAAACATAACCCCAGAAAATTGCGTGCATTTTCGCGTTGTCACCAGCACAGCAGTCGTTGACGAATCAACAACTGCACCGGGCACCCGAATCAAGGATGGATTGTCGTGACGAGACTGCAGTATGGAGCTGCTGTATACAGCGCTAGACTAATCCGTTTCTGTCCGATTCCTCCTCTATGCCTACTATTTCTCTTTCAGTCAGTCGTTCTCTGTGGCTCACTCCCAGGCAACGCTGAGCGAGAGGGAGGGCGTAAGCACCACTTGTTGCCGCTAGCATTGTGTCAACCGTTGTTGTTCCGTCCAATCGCGGGATACTAGCATGGTCCGCGTACACGTCTCTACCAAGACAAGCCCACCCAGGTAATGTTAGCCCAATGGCCTACTACCGAGACACCAACCTGCTGTTGTTTCGCGCTTCATACGCACATATCTAATTAAACTGTCCCCAGGCTGAGCAGCCCCATGTATCAACATCCAACTGCTCTTGTTCCTGGCTTGAACTCTTTTTTTACGAGGGGATGTCAAGATGTCATGTCAAAGTTTCTCGCGTACACTATTATCACGCCCATCCATCAAAAACAAATCGGGGTACGCACTACGTTGGACATGTCTCAAGTACCAGCCAACCCCAATTTCGCCAACGCGGTCCATGTCAACTCGATTTCCGCAGATTTCTTTGAACGGGATCACAACGCTGTCAGTGAGAAAGCGAAAAGCCGTTCTCTCCGACGTTCTGTGTTACGCGGCCAAAATCTGTCACGAATTATAAAATGGCCACGAGCGAGTGGTGAATTCCTCGTTGCTGCCACCGATATCTCTTCTCGAACGTGCATGTTGAAAGGGAGCACTATGAGGCAGCCACTCGACGAACATGTAGTCTACAACAGCTGTCCTGTTCTTACGAGATGGCACCTACATTTTGTATCTCTAGATGGCAAATATTAATAGTTTCGACGCCACACGCCAGTACACGTTTTTTTGTTCTCGTCCGAGTCTCCCTCATCACACCTTTACAAGCGGTTTCCGGAGGCAGGAGGCCATTGCCCGATGGACTACATTGCTATAGGAAGACAGGTCGAAACAGAGCCTTGGAGTAGGGGGGTGGGTTTGCCAACCGTTGAGGGTGACGTGGGCCATGGCGGGCAAAGGGTGCGAAGACGTTCTAGTGTCGCGAAGACGAAAAAAAACGGAGCTCTCACGCAGCTAAGGCTGGGCATTTTTTCCGGGGGAGAAAACTGCCGCCCTCAAGAAGGGGGACGATGGGAACACACGTGGGTGTCGCCTTTGTGTTTGATAGGCCTTGAAGGGGTGAGACACAGCACCTAGGCAGATGGTTGTGGCTGTTCGTACGAGGGGGGCCACACAATATAGACAGGAACGATCAACAGGCAAGCACTTTGGCGGAACCGAAAGGAGCGTTTAACGGGTAATAGTGCCCTGGTACGGAAGAGAAGTGTGGACCCTGCCATCCTGCTATGTTTCATCCAGGAAGAACCCCACGAGCGTTCCTGCCCGGGCTGCTCGTTGGGCAGAAAAGCACCACGCTCCAGTCCATCCCCGCTCTATGCGGGTGCCAAGTGTGCCCTGGACGTTAAAAGACCGCGGCTATGCACGATGCTAGGTTAACGCGCCCACTACCGTGTTGACCCCTTCTTGTTCCCATCACAAGCAGGGCCAGAGTGATCGACTGACCAGCCGCTCAATCAAGAGCGCACCGCCATGGCGGCTCGCAGACACAACGCTTCCGGCGCCGCTGAGGGCGGACCGCGGCGGCGGCGACGAACCCCTCTCCGCGGCGGTCGCCGCCGCCCGCTTCTCCGTTCCTTTTGCGGCTGCTGCGCCGCCGCCGCCGCTGCTGCCCCTTCGGTGTTGCTGGTGGGGCAGACGGTACTGGCGGACGACTTGGACCTGGAAGAGTTCACCCCCAGGAGCTTCGATGGGGTCGGCAACAACGAGGCGTTTCCGTCCTGGGGAGCGGTCGGGACAACGCAGGTGGGGCTGGTTGTTTGCTATGGTTTGTTTTAGTTGTTGTTGTTTGAAAACATACCACTGCACACACACGCACACCAGGGACGTTGGTTTTTTCCTCCGGTGCTGACGTGTTTTCATTTGTCAGCCGGTTAGCGCCGTCGATGCTAGTAGTAAGAAAGGCACACAAACGTACACACTCTATCGCTCTTTGCAATTTGTAGAGACTCTTCGCGTGTGCGTGTCGTTGCGGCGGCAGCTCCGTTCGGTCGTCGGCGCCGACTACGCCGACGCGGACTTCACTCCGCCGGGGGACCTGACAAGACCGACCGCAAGGCAAGTGCTTAGTACTCCGCGAGCGACAATATTCCTCCGCGAGCAACAGCACTCTGAGTTTTCGTCCTCAATTTTTTTTTTGTTGATTCAGAGAGCAGATGGAGACTCTTACGACAATGAGTGGATTATGGTGAAATCTTGTGTGCCCTTCCTCGTGTGTGACTCCGGTGGGAAAGTAAAGCGTTCACACCGAACGTTCTGCAGGTGGCATCACAATAGACGGGACCAATACCCTCATATTGTTTTCATTGACGTGACGTGTTGGATTTTTTTGTGTCGTTCATGTGATTTTTTGTTGTGTTGCACTTGGTCGTCCAGGGAGGTGATGACCGACGTGTTTCTAGAGTCGCCGCCGGCGCTGTCCACCATGAGCGCTCTCTTCATCGGTTGGGGGCAACTGCTGGCTTTCGACCTGTCTCTCACCAGCGACAACTCTTCCGAGCCCTTGGACATCGACTGCAACGACGGTGAGAGCGGTAGGAAGGAGTCTTGCTGTGAAGGGCAGGAGCGCGGGGGGTGCGTGTCCCGCGGTAGGCTTTCGGCCGTGGACCTCGCATCCCTACGAAGTCGAGATAGATGACGTCGAACGCTCGGGGGCGTTGACGCTGGGGCGCAGGGGGAGGGCGTCTACACCCGCGACAACAACACCACTTTCCTCTGTGTGCATCCATTCAGCGCTTGATCCTCTCGCCCATTTTCCAACCCGTTCATGTTCTTTCGCCCAATCACTTGCGCATGTAACGTCTGCATGATGGAAGGGACCGGGGCCGGAGGGGTCGACGTGTGGTGTCCCCTTGGGGCGGAGTCGGACCCCATCCCATTTTACAGGTCGGACGCGGCACTGTCGGACGACGACGGCGCCCTGAGCGAGGAGACGAGGAGCCCCGTCAATTACGCAACCGCGTTCGTGGACCTCGACTTCGTGTACGGGCGGAGCGAGGACGACGCCGCTGCCCTGCGGTCGTCCGCGGACGGCGACGGTTTCATGGCCCTCACAGAGAGCGGCTTGCCCTACGTGAACGATGACGGGACTTGGCTGGTCAGTCCAGTCGTTCGTTTCCCGTGGTATATTTGCTGAGAGGTTACATGTTCCATATATTGTGTATGTCCCCCCCGCCCCCGCCCCCCGGCTGATAGCCTTTGTTGCCCGGTAGTCGATGTGTGTTTTCCGTCTAGCTGCTGCGCATTGAACCCAGTTTGGGTTCTCGAGAGCGGGGAAGACAGCAGCAGTATGTTGAACTCCTTTTGTCCCGTTGTTTTCGCACATACCGTAATGTTTGTTGTTTCTTCTACGTGGTTTGTGACATTGCCGTCGAAGGAAGCCTTTTTCCTCACGTGTTTAATTGTTTATTGTTGTTCATGCTTGGTGGTTTGACGAAGCTTTCCTCTGGTGTCTGTCTGTGTGTCGGTTGATGCTGTTGTTTCGCATACTACGTGCCCAAAAACCGACGATGCGGTGACGCCCGCCGCCAGATCGCGGACCAACGATCGGCCCAATTCCCGGTCACGTTCGCGCTGCACGTCATGCTTCTCCTCGAGCACAACCGCTGCTGCATCGACATCGCGCCCGGCGAGGGCTTCGAGGGTGACGAGGTCATTCCGCGCAATATTCTTCGAGTGCGGGGGGGGGGGGGGGGAGGCTTCATCCAAGCGTACCACCTTCGTAGATTTTTCCGCTGTAGTTTGGGGGGCTGAATGTTTTGATTGAATGAATTCGTACGGCATCGAATCGTGAGCGTGCCACGTCAGTTGCACGGTGGTCCGTTTTTTTTTCTGCCTCTTTCCGTGAAGGACGCATCCATCCTTGCGATGCGGAGTAATCTGGAGACTACATCAATCGATGACGAGGAATCGCGCTGTACCAGTGTACGTGATACCTGAGACGATTCCGCGATGTGTGTGTGTGTGTGTTTTCGTCCTTTTTTCTTCTTATTTATTTTCATGCCCCACCTTCCTCCTGCGGTGCGTGCTGCATTTTATTTTTTTCGCGAGAAGGGTCCAGCCGTCCCTTTCCCCCGGCAACGGTGCTAACGTCGAAGTTTGGTGCTCACGAGAGCTTTTCAACTATATTTCGCTTTCACCCGCAGATGTGTAAATTTTTCACCCCATGGGGATTCGAACTCACGATCTCTGCGACTAGCGGTATACGAGGAGACCGCTAGATCACCGGGGCGACCGGTCCGAGGTAGTAGTGATGGGAAGTATCGGGCGTCCCCTTATAGTTATCGTTCATTTGCGGTTCCGTTCTTTGCCGGTGAAAATCGTCTACGTGCACCCACTGGCGGGTATGAGCCGACGCCAGGAATTCCGGTTGACGGGAAAATTTCGCCTTTTTTTGCGAACGCGCAGGACATCTACCAGGCATGCCGGGGGTGGACCATAGCCGTTTTCCAGCACATCACGGAGAACGATTTTCTAATCCGCCTCCTGGGGGGTAACATCCAGGACCTCGGCGAAAGCATGTCGTCGTCGTCGTCCTCGTTGTCGTCGGTGTCGGTGTCGTCGGTGTCGTCGTCGTCTTCGTCAACAACAACGACAACGGAAGCAACAACAGCGCCAACGGAAGCAATAGCAGCGCCAACGGAAGCAACAGCAGCGCCAGAGGAAGCAACAACAGCGCCAACGGAAGCAGCATCAGCGCCAGTGAATGCCACAACAGCGCCAACCGAAGCGACAACAGCGCCAACGGAATCGATAACAGCGCCTGCGGAGGCGACAACAGTGCCTGTGGAAGCGACGACAGCGCCAGTGGAAGCGACAACAGCGCCAGTAGAAGCGACAACACCACCTGCGGACAGCGGCGATGGTAGCGGCGATGGTAGCGCCGGTGGCAGGGGAGAAGAACGGAGAAGAATTAGGAGGAGGGGGCTAGAGGAAAGGAGAGGGGAAGCACTAGGTGGGGCGCAGGACGGGCGGCGGGAGGGAGGGGTGCATACGTGTTTGAAACTCGAGTTGCTGCTGTCGTTGTTGTTGCTCTCTCCTCTTCAAGTGAAAATCAATGTCGGAATGGGTATGGTTTTCAGGTCGCTTTCCCCCACTGCGAGAGCTTGTTAGACGGGGGAGACTGTCGGTATCACCGACGCCTCCATGAACGACGGCAGACGAGTGGGGGTTGTGGACGCAACTTGAACACGTTCAAACACCATTTTCAGACTGAAGCCCGGCCCACTTGCTTGCACGCCAACACTCCGTTTCGCAGGACTTCCAAAAACGAAACCAACCAAACACATAAATGTCCTTTCTGCCACTCACTGTCAAGAGTTCAGTATATCTCCTTCTTGACAGTGGATTTTTCTGGAACGAGTGTTTGGCCTATTCTGTGGTGGCATGCATATTTTTTCTAAAATATCGAATATCGCTCTTCACCAACTCAATCGCAACCGTCACAAATCAGACGAAGACGAACGCGAGCATCCGGTGCCCGGGCGGCAGAGCAGGAGGGGCCTGTGGCTGACCACGGACTACGACGAGAACATTAACCCGGGCGCCGACACCTTCACCTTGACGGCCGGGGCGGCGGCCTTCGAGTCGGCCCTGCCGTCCACTGTGCGGGTGGTCGGGGAAGGCTACGAGTCGACACGGTACGACAACATTGAGCTCGCCGCGGCCGTCGGGGCCGACAGCCTCGTGTCCTTCTTCAACAACGTAAAGGTGTGTGTTGTGCGGTATTTGTGTATGCGCGTCTTTTTTTGTGTGGAAGTATAAAGTACGGATTTTCATTTTCCCTCATTCAACAGTGTAAAAGTATTGTGTGCGTGCATGTATACCACATATTTTTCATATGCATGCATATGTACCATTTCGCCTGTTTGGTGCTTCGGGACATGTTCCGCTTGCGGAGGAGAGTCTTGTCTCACGCTTCCTTCTCAGAGGTAAGCAGGGGGATCGTACATTACCGCGCACGCCGGAGGACAGCCAGCCACCCGTGGCACTTGTGCTTGTCTCCCAAAGTTGAAAAGCTTGGCTCTATTCCCCGGGGACGTGTTCCGCGCGGAGAAAGCCTTCGCAAGAAATACACAAAAAACGTGCTTTGCATCAACAGGACTTTTGGCTCCTCACAACGCACAGAAATCCCGCAGACCATGGGCATCACAGATACGTAAGAGCGAGCAATCAAACGCAGCGGATTGCAACAGTAGGATGAGCAACAAAGACGCCACTAGCATTAAAAAAAAATGCACACACTTACGCACACGCAAAAAGTCACAGCGAGGACAAAAGATACCCCTCACACATCGCAAATTCCAGGAAAATTCTGCACGTTGTTCGCCAAACCGGCACTCCCTACGAACGCCATGACTTCAAGATTCAACGATGCGACCGCGATGCCATAGGCCATGTCCTCATGCGTCGCCCCCCGGAGGCAGCAAGCCACGTAACTGCCGAAGGGGAGCATCTTTCTTCGCATTCATTATGACGATTCCATTTCCGTCTACAGAGTCCGGGACAGATGATGTTGGAATGCGCAGGGGAATGCGGGTCCGCTATGTCCTTGACATCGACCGCGCTACCCCACTGACCAATGAACATCCTTCAGTCTCTCGTCAGTTCGGCTATGTAGCAACTAAGGGATATCGCTTTTGAAGGCGGCCACGATCTGGAGACCCCGCGAGCGAGCGCGGGGAGGGGCATCACCCAACGCCGCCGAAGTACCTGGCACCTCAGTTTTCCCCCACCAACTCTCCCGCTCTCTGTTCTGCAGGTTGTGGACGTGTTGCGAGGGGCGGTGTTGTCCCCGGTGTATGCAGCCGACACTCACTACACCGCGGCGGTCTCGAACGGGTCTCCGCTGTTCAAGCTCCCGGTGGACTCGGTGCAACGGGGGAGGGACCACGGGCTGCCGACCTACAACGATGCTCGGGCGGTGAGACAAGAAAACAATATTCGTTGTTGTTAAAGTTGATCCGCTACCCTGTGTGACATGGAAAAGATTCAGCCACGGTTTGCGTTTACTTGTAGCAGCTTCAGAACGATAGTGGACGGGGATTGAGAGAGAGTAAGGGGCTGCGGTTGTCTTCATCTCCGACCAACATCCCACCGCGGGGACGCAAAATATGAAACACCGCTAATAAGACACACAACACACAGGCGTTCGGGCTCTCGGAGGCGACCACTTTCACAGACGTCACCACGTCGTCGTCGTCGACGTCATCATCGATGACGACCATAACGTCATCTTCCGGTTCCGACGCCGACGAGGAGGTGGCGGACATCCTCTCGACGGCATACGGGGGCAACGTGTCGACCCTCGACGCTGTGACCGGGGCCCTGGCCGAGCCGACGATGGCGAGCTCAGGGGGCTTCTTCGGGGAGCTACTGCACGCCGCCTGGCTGGAGCAGATGTACAGGTGTGTGCGCGTGTGTGCATTTTTCGTTTGTGTTTGTGCATCTTTATTGGCCGCGCTATCCCCGGCTGTGTGTTTGTGTTGTACTGTGAAGTAGCATTGACCGCGCTGACTGGCTGATCAGTCAAAAGACGTCAGTCCCAGTGCGGTTGAAAACTCAACATGCTTCTAAAGTCCACGATCTGGGCCGCCGTGAGGGAGCGTCATGTGTGTGTGTGGGTGTGTGTGTCTTCGTCGGCCGTGCTAACCGGCTGAGTGTGCGTGTGTGTTTTGTGTGTGTTTGAAGTGCGCTATCCAGCCGGCTGACTACTGGAGAAGACGTCAGTCTCAGACCGGCTGAAAACAGGAAATGCTTCTACAGGCCGCGATGATCTGGGACCCCATGAGGGGAGTGTATGTGTGTGTGTTTGTGTGTATTGGTATTCACATCGGCCACGCTAATCGGCTGGCCAATGAAAAGACGCGTGCGTTTGTGTGCGCGCGCGTGTGGGGGATGTTTGTGTTGGTAAGCGTCGACGGCGCTACCCGATTGGCCATGAAAACGTGTGTTTCGGTGGTGTGACGCAAGGGGCAGAGGAGCCGACCCGCTCGACAGAGATGTAAGGGGGCGTTTTTTGAAGGGTGTTGGGGGGTGAAGGGAAGCTCCGATCGAGTCTTGCTTGAAAGCATTGCGAAGTGTTTCTCTTCTCCCTTTTCGGCACAAGGTCGAGGTTTGAGCACCACGGAAGCTAGTCTGACCAAGTACGAATAGTAGAAGGTACTGAGCGGAGACCGAAACGGTCGTTCATGTGAAGACAACAACGACAACGACCCCCCTGCCCCCGCTGGTTGGCCAATCAATCGACCAATCTGGCAGAGCCTTTCAGGGCGACCGGTTCCACCACCTCCACTCCAGGGACATCGAGGATGCCTCCCTCACCACCATCTCGGACCTGATCAACCGGACGACCGGTGCCACCGACATCCCGCTGTCGGCCTTCGTGGCAGCCACCGTGGAGGTGTGCGGCGCGGACTGCTCGTCGATCGGGGTGTCGGAGGCCGACCTTTCGGACAGCTACTCGATCGCGTGGGAGGTGAAGTGAAAAACAAGCAAGACCTATGCTTGTCGCTGTAACATGTTTGTAGATTTCCCTTTTTTGGTTCGCTGGGCTGTCGGAGTCAGAAACATGTCCGCTGTGTGAGCCGTTGAGCTTGGGAAACGTCACGCCGAGGCTGGCAGTCAGCTGGGGATTGGTCCTGCTGCCTCCTTTTTTAGTTCACCTTGCGTCACCCACTTGATGACTCTCTACTCTGATGAACCCACTCCGGAGTGGACCACTTGTATGCACTCGTGCATATTTGGCGCCTACTCACGTGTACACTCGTGTATGGCGTCAACGAGTGTAAGCGGGAAACAGAAGGAGAGTGCCTTATTAACTCGTCGACGCCCCACATCTACCCCAATACCTCCTTTCCTGCGTGTTGCTTGGTGGTTCATGACGGTCATGAAAGAACGTCGCCACTTGGGCGAGTGAGTTGCGATGTGGTAGGGAGTGCGGTTGGTGGATAACAATTTCTTGGCACAGATAGAATGCTGGATATTTCTGTTTTTTTTTTTTTAATGGGGTTGGGTGAATCGAAGGCCTGGATGATGATTTTGTCGAATGTCACGAAGTGGATAGTCAATAGTGGCGATAACAGCAACGATAAAGGCGACGATGATGATAACAACAGGTGCTTGAAGACAACACCATGACGATGTCGCTCAGCGCGAAGGGCATCGGCGACACCGGGATGCTGGGAATCGGCTGGGGAGGACTCACCATGAGCGACGCCCAGGTAAGTCTCCACCCAACATGATGACTCGAAAAACAACAAAGCCGTACTCGACATATCCCTGTTCCTTTTGTTGTTTGCCGCCTCGAGCCTGGTAGGCTTGTCACCTGCGCTCGTTGCCAAGTCCTAGCATTCACCGGGTCGTTGTTGCTGTCGTTGGTTTGCACGTTGCAACCTTCCAGGCAAAACCTCCGACTAGAAATTATTCATCGGGTCTGGCGAGCGTGACGCTAGCAGAATCGATTCGACAGATATCCTTATGAAAAGCTACAAGGGCTCCGCTTTCTCAAGCATTTAATGTACACGCGGACCCGATTTTCACTTCCAGATCTGGCGAGCCTGGCGCCGTAGAATCGATTGAACCTCCTCTTTTTGAAGCTCTGCAGATGAATGCGGACCAAGCCCCAATTTAACTCACGAATCCGACGAGCGTGGCGCCAACAGAATCAGTTGAACGGATTTATCTATGACGTCACGACGCCTCGTTATCTCAAGCTCTTCTGATACACGTGGACCCGAATCTCACTTCCAGATTCGACCAGCTTTGCGCCGGGGAGTCAGTTTCCACGGATCTATGTACGAACGCATCGAGGCCTCCGCTATCTCAAGCTATGGAGATATGCGAGGACTCTGTATTAATAGTCACTCCCAGATCCGACGGGTGTGGTGTCGCAGAGTCATCTGAGCGCATGTGTATGTGAAATCAACAGGACCTCCGCTTTCTCAAGCTCTCACGATAGGAGCGGGGGATGAGTTTCACCTCACTTCTAGATCTGACGGGCGTGGCGCCGCTGACGAGAGCTGAGTCACTCGAAAGCAAAGAGACGTCTGAGTCCGTATAGGAGCAAAGCTGGGGGGGGCGCAACAGTAGCAGTGTTAAGCGGTCTCCGAATCAAGCATTCATGCAGTAATCCTCGACTTCCGTATCCCCAACGCCCCCACGTCTGCGCGGCGCTCTTTTCTCCTCGGGCGAGTTGCGTTGTTAGCCCCTCCCTCGTTGTTATTGACGAGATGAGTTGATTTCGTGATCTGGGGCGTGATCTCGTGATCTCGACGGATGAGGCGGAGTGCATCGATCGACACCCCCCCCTCCCCTTTGATACATTTTGCCGTCCCCCGTCCCCCATGGTACCGAAAAAAACATAAGGATTTCGTGATCTGCGAGGTGCTCTCGTCGACCGAGGCGGAGTGCATCGACCGGCAGGCGACGGGTGGGCGGTCCGTCCCGGAACCGGATGACGAGGACGACCCTTACCTCGAGGTCTTGAGCGTGGAGGTGGAGGGCGAGTGGACGACGGTGCAGTTCTTGAGATCTTTCACCACCCTCGACGATCAGGACTACGACCTCTCCCAGGCAAGTTGTTTTTTTTTTTTCGCTCGACGAGTAATGGAGATGGTGAGTTCTGCGCGCGTGTGCTCGTGCACGCAGAGCACGCCAGACGGGAGTAGATGTTGGATCTCGGCCACCTTTTTTCTGTGTGTGTGTTTTTTGTACATGGACCACGCTAACCAATGAAAACACGCCAGTCGAAGTGCGGTTGGCAGCACAAGATGCTCACAAAGGCCATGATCTGCGTATGTGTGTCGCCCGCCGAAACAAATCAAGAGACCCAAAACATAACAACCGTGTGTGTCAACGGCAACGCGGAAAAAGAAGAGCTGGTTTTGGTTGTGAAAGGAGAGGGAGGCACTCGTGTTGGTGCTCGGGCTGTGTTGTCGTTGCCGTTGTTGCTGTTCTTGTCGTCGTCTTCGTCGTCGTCGTCGTCGATGTTTCTCGCCGTTGGTTTGTGCGTGTTGTTGTCGCCGCCGTTGTTGTTGTTGCAGTTCTTGTTGTTCTTGTTGTTCTTGTTGTTCTTGTCGTCGTCGTCGTCATCTCTTTGTCAAATGTGCGCGTGGTCTACCGCGTACAATATTCAGCGTAAAGGGGGCCCTGACCGCTGGTCTCGCCTGTGTCTCCTGCGTGGCAGGACCTCGACAACGAGGAAGACACAGAAGTCATCTACTCCTTCCGAGAGGGGGCCGGGGTCGGCCAGCACCCAAATGCCAACCGAGGCGCCAGCACCGTCAACTTTGCCACGGGAGACGTCGAGAACGAGTGCGACGAGAACAACTTCGTGTCCATACACGGGGCGCTCATGCTCGTCGCGTGGATGATCCTGGCACCGTGGGGCATCTACTACGTCAGGCAAGTTGTTTCTAGGGCACCGGTTTCTTTGGGTCGTAGTTGTTGTTGTTGTTGTTGTTGTTGTTGTTGTTGTTGTTGTTGTTGTCGTCGTCGTCATCTTAGCCGCCCTCGACGTTGCCGTGGTTGTTGCCGTTGTCAAACTCCAGAAATAATGAGTAGGGAGTTTCGCTTCGCCCCGCCATTTAACGTTAGCATTGGTTCGGAGATTATTCACGCATGGACAGCGATCTCTTCGTCAATGCCCAAGATATTCCCCCGGTGTTTTGGCATGGGTGTCAGTTGATTTGCTTACCCCTCCTTCTAACACGCACGCCACCCCAGTCCGTAGTCCCTCTACCGTAGCCTCGGTGCAGCTCGGCGGCCTTCCCCGCAGCCAGCGTCGAAGACTCGGCCTTTGGTAGTTGATCATGGGAGCGGCAGCGGCAGAGTAGTGCGTTCAAATATCCCGCGTCGACGACCCGTTGTTTGAAAATGACATCGCGCGGACGTGGAATTTTTTTTTCGTCCATATTTCGTCTTTGGTTCACTCTCCCCTCGCAGTCACTCAACCTTTCATTCACTTGTGCTTTTACCTCACTCAACCTTTGGCTTCACTCAGCCTTCGTATTCACTCAAACGTTTTTCACTCGGCCGTTTTCCCTCAACCATATTTTTCACTCAGACTTTCTGGTAGAATTGATATTCCCGCAGCCTTTCTGTTCGCAACCTTTTCGTTGCTCAAACTATATTGTCAAGTCAGTCTCCTTGGACAACGTGCATGTATGCACCGCTGGCGTTGCCCCCCGTCCCTTGCTCCCCTCTCGACTGCCTCTAGGTACCGCAAGGGAGAGGAGATCGACTTCATCTGGCGCTACCAGTGGTGGGAGATGCACGAGGAGATCATGATCGTAGCCTCGGAGGCAGTTTTGCCTCTCGGCATCACGTGAGTCGACACGGTTGGGCATTTGTGCCCTATGCCTTGCTCTGCTGTTCATTGTCCCCTTCCCCCCCAGTGCTCCGTTCCCTCGAGTACGCGTGGCCAAACAGTTGAGCCATGCAGAACATGACGACGCGCTCCCGTGGGGGCCTCCAAAACGCCAGTTGAATATCGCCGGTCTCTCTGAATAGCGCCGGTCGATTCGCCGAGCACGTACCGGCGTTACTGAGCCCCCTCGCCACCGTGTTTCCTCTGCAGTCCCAAGGGGAGAAGGGTAGTTTTCCTCAAAGACTCATAGTACGCATCATGTTGCTCGGTTCCCTCTCCAAGCAAGTCATGCTGTTGAGAGTGCTGCTACTGCTGTAGCGGTTTTTCATATATTTACCCTTTGTTGGTGCCCGTTGTAGGTGTTTCTATCCCGATTGTCTATTGCGATGGCTTCCGCGGGGTCGGCGAACACACAGTACGACCCCTTCAGTGCCAACACGGCAGTCTCTCCATGGGTGTACGTCTCGTGCATGTTGTGGCGACTAACACTGATTGGTTGGTCCATCCGTCCAATCAAAAGCTTCAAGAACAATTACGAGTTTGTGATCGATTCAAGTCTTTGCAGTAGAGTCAGCACGTCTCCCCAACTCCATTGTGCTGCAGCCTGTTTGAATATGGTAGCGAAAGGCGACGAAGACACGGCTCAAGTGGCTTCCGCGCCCTCTCCGTTTCCTCTGTGGCATCCCCCCCCCCCCTTGCCCCCGCGCGGGCCTCCCGTAACCCCCAGAGCTATTTTCGCGCCGGGGGGAGAGCACCAGCACGAGCACGCGCACTGGGGGTACTACATGATCGTCGCGGTTGTCGCCCAAGTTCTGTCGGGCTGGCTGCGAGTGAAAGGGCTGGGAGGAAAGAACGCCAATTTTTCCCTCTTTCACCGGGTACGGGTGCAATTAGTTATGTCTTGGTGATGTTTTTTTGCATTTTTCGCTCGTTGGAGGCAGTGGTTTTCGTGTTTGGTTGGCGGCTTGCACCTGTGCTTTGAAGGCACGCGGCAGCCAGTCCCTTTCATGGTTTTGTGTTTACTCGTGGGGGGTACTTGAGTGGTGGATTGATTGTTGGCGGGTACCGTGACACCCAGCCCTCTGGTCGTCGATGCTGCTCGCACGGCTGCTGCAGGTGGCTGATGACCATGACCATGGCCAACACCACACACGAAAACAAACTGGACGAACCTTCTACTTGTTGTCTTCTTGTCTCTTGATGGGAGTGCACGCCTACATACGACGCATTCGACCCCGTACGTTGATACGTTATTAACCGCTCACTTTCCTGGTGCCCGAACCCCTCCCCCTCCTCACCCCGCCCCTCCCCCCCCCAAAAAACAAACGCCCCCCCCCGCCCGCCCCCCCCGTGTACTCTGGCAATATCACCGCTTTCAACACGAGAAGTGCAACAAGTTCTTCCACATCTACGCCGGGCGTTTCGCCTACTTGGCCGGCGTGGTGCAGTGCTACCGGGGACTGGAGCTCGTGGCCAGCGACGACCAGCTCATTTTTTCGGCGGGGGACGGCCTTGACCTACAGGTAGGTGGTGATTGCGGTGGATCAGGGGGAAAGGAAGGAAGGAAGTGCGACGTACAGCGTTTTTTTTTGTTGTTGTCACTTTTTGTATTTGCGCTGAGCTTGTGGCGGTGCCGGTCCTCGCTGTTTTTTTGGGCGTGTATTTCTATCAGATCATCATGCCACGATAGGGACCCCCCGTCCGAGACTAGACCCACTTGTTGCAGGTTGCGAGACGCATCATCGCGGCCACCTCATTGTAACCCTAACACCAAGCCGGTTTGGTTGTCACGTCTAGGCCTAGTCTGGTCGAAGTCCGAGTGGTTTCCGTCCTGTCATTCTGTATGCCACAGAAGACAATTGAGCAGATCGACTTCATAAGTCGCGAGGGAAGGGATTGCTGTACCCTTCTCGTGATTAATTATCTCAGACAGGAACCGCAGGAGGTGGTCCAACCCCCCCCTCCTGTGTGACCCCGGTTGGGTCGTCTAGCTAGTACGAGTGGAGGATAGGGGCCAGAGGGGCAGGTGACAGAATCCAATGATGGGAGAAAAAAATATCAAATTGAGCAGAGAAGAGAAAAGAAAACCACCCACTTCCGCTCACCATTGGAACCTGTGGTATGGTAGACGCGCGCCCCAACTCCTGCCATGTCCACCACACAAAAACACAAAAGGTGGGCAGCGTCGGGATCGGGCGTGGTACCGGTTCCAATCCTCATGGACACACAGGTCCCTCACGGCTCGTCTTCATAAGCGCCTGAAACCTACATTTGTACTTGTTGAGTTGCCATTTTTTTGCGGCTGATGCCATGGTATACCTCAACTCTCGAATATCACAGCTGGGGAGCTTCGGGCTCGTGTACGAGTACGGCTTCCCCGCGTGGTTCGCCCTGATCGCCCTGATATTCCTGTATCTCGAGACAAGTAAGCAGTTCCGCCGCTACTTCAAAAAGGGATCCGCCAACGTTCTAGGTAAGCTTTGGCCTTTAAGTTTGTCTCACGCGCCAGGGGTGGTGAATCCCCGGGGCCGTCTTTGGCGTGGGCGGTGCTAGCGGGCGCCGTTCCGACGGGGGGTAGGTATGTAGGGCTGACACACACACACGGGGCACGCCGAGCGTTTAGATTTGCCGTCGATCGGTGCACTGTACGGGTGCCTCCATGCATGCAGAGATTGTGCGGCGTCGTGGAGCCAGCATTAGCACCGCCTACATGTGAGGTCGCCCACTCGCTATGCTTCGGTGATTCATTGCCATTCCTTCCTCTCTTGTGGCGGGCGTTCCATTGTTGCTGTCGTGGTCGATCCACGAGCTCTCAACGAGGGTGGCTTGTGTGTGTTTCTCTGCGTATCATCGACGGTGCTGACTGCCGGAGGGTCCGGAATCAGTGTCATCGATAAGTTGTGTGGAGCGTCAACGAGCGCAGCAACAGCACACAAACTTGATCCATCGCAATAAGGAGGTTGGTCAGGCTTAGTTCACAACCCTGGTGTTACTGTCGTTGCCCTCTCGTGGGTTGATCGGTCTCGGCGCGCGCTATGCTTCCGTGCAAACGACGTTCTTGGTGTGTGGTGCTCTGCTGGTGCTGCTGCAGGGTGTCTTGAGGTCGTCAACGAGGGCTACAAGGGTGACGACGGAGACGACGGCGAGCAGTTGAAGAACGAGAGGCTCATGCCCAGAACCGAGGACCTGCCCATCTACAGCGTCGCGGAGTTCAACGACAAGGTGTCTACCGAAGCTTTTGCGTAGGGACGAACGTTCGTCTGCACGAACCCCCGTCTCTACCGTCCGTCATCGTTGCCTTGGTCCCCCCTTCTCCTCTTCCTCCTCCTCTCGCTGCTCAGTATCCGCTTCGTAATTTTCCCACCTCGTTCACCTCATTTCCAGGTTCATGTCAATTTAACTTGGTGAAGCTTCCCTCCCTCCCTCCTGCCCTCTGTCTCCGCTGCGCCAGGTGCTGAACGGGCAGAGCTGGGTGCTCGTGGACGGGGCCATCCTGGACGTGTCCGACTTCGCGAAGCGGCACCCGGGGGGCCAGCGCCTCATTATCAACGCGCTGGGCACGGACATCACCCAGGAACTTCTCGGCGAAGACCTGTCCGTGGGGCACGCCATGTCGTTCTCCCCACACGTTCACAGCGAGGTAAGGTTCGGTGTGCTGCGTGTTCGGACGCGACGGCCGCACGTACCTACGAACGCACGCAAGCAGGTACGCGTGATGATCTTGCAGGCGGGTGAGGTACGGTTAGGTATGCAACATGTTCACGCGCGGTTGCGGGATACGCACGTACGTACGCAAGCAGGCGGACGCAATGTCGTTGGAGGCGAGGTTAGGCGCGCATGATGTTGCAGCGGGGTTGTTTACTGTGTTGCGCCACAGGAAGGGCGTGCATCATTTCGTGACGAGCTGTGCTATGTCCGCTGGGGGGACATCGTTGTCGAGGTCTTTGAGTTTAGTTGGGCGGTGAAGCTGTACATATGGATCGATCGACTGAGGCAGCACGGGTTGTGGTGGGCTTGGGGCTGCAACATTCGGCGCTGTCTAGGGAGTCATTCCGCCCGCTACCACACGGGCGTGGGAGCGCCGAGGAGACCCGGGACGGAGTACTGGGCGACGAGCGAGGAGCACAGCACGCAGAGCCTAGCAGCCATGCCGAAACCACCGCCTATACCAGTGCTTACTGAGCTCAAGCTTGTCTGAGAACGTTTTGTTTTTCTGTGTCTCCAATGTGCCGATACGTGCGCTCTAACTCTCGGCTGTCCCCTCCCTTGAAACGATGGTATGGTACTGTCCGGCGATGTCCCTGCGGGCACGGAGCTATTGGTATCGACAGGTATCCGCACGTGTTCCTTGTGCGGAGCCGCCGAGCTGCCCCCTACCCCCTACCTCTGCCTAAACAAGTGCCACACGCAAAACACGGGCAGGAAACGCATCGTCGTCCTTCTAACCTTTGCGCCATCACAACATTGGGAACCCCCGGTTCATCTTTGTGAAACGTAGCCAAACCCGGCATATCGCTCCGTCCGGCAAGGGGGGAGGGAAGTGAGGCCAAATGGTTTGTAACGACTACGGCATGCGTTCATATGAGTACACCCCTACGACACGCCTCTGGTGGAGCCGGGCTCCGCACCCCCCCCCCCCCCCCCCCCCCCCCCCCCCCCCCCCCCCCCCCCCCCCCCCCCCCCCCCCCCCCCCCCCCCNCCCTTCTTTTTTTTCATGCACGTCCCCCCTCTCCGATTTTCTTCTCGATTTTGTTTTTTCAGAGAGCTTGGACGATCCTGCGGACGCTGGTGGTGGGGTACATCGAGGAGGGGGAGGACGACAATGGCGGCGGTGACAGTGACGGTGGACAAGAGCAGCAGCAACGGGCGAGGGCGGGGAGTGGGGCGCGCGACAGCGCCGCCGAGAGAACGGCAAGGGATGGCAGCGTCAGCGAGGTCCGGCGGCCTTCTTCAGTAGGAGCGAACGTGGGGGCGACGGCGCGGGGGGGGGAGGCGCAGGTGGTGCCGGCGGCAGGAGGGCAGGGGGCGAAGAGGCAGAACCACAAGTTCCGGGTCGCCGGGCATGCGGTGATGCTCGTGGCGGGGAGGGGCGGCGGCGGCGGCGGCGGCGGCCTCACGGGGGACGCCCTGGTGAGGAGGAGGAACGCCTGGCAACATGGTGTTCCAATGGGATTTTTTTTTTTTTCACTTACGTGTGGATGTAAATGTACCCGACACATACCCCGACCAAGTATGCGTGTACCGGGCCTCGCAAGGATTTCTTGTGCGTGAAAGGCGTGCGTCGTGTGGGTGTATGTGATCGTGAGTCAATCGTCGATGGCCGTCACGTCTCTGAGCCCACACGTGCCTGTGTGTATAGCTGTAGCCAATGTTTATCTTTCTGGAATCCAAATCAGCACCTTTTTTTGAGACCTGCGCCAACAGCTCCGGAATCATGTTCGTGTTGAACCAGTACTTCAGGAGCCCCGCTGGGGATGCCTTTCGAGGGTCCTTTCCTGTCTGTCTGTCTGTCTGTCTGTCTGTCGTGGATTTTGTTTCGTGTCTGCCCCTGCCTACCTCTCCCCTTCTCCCAACGTCGAACGGCCACCTTCCGACCAACGAGACGCCCGCCGAGCACCCCCCCCCCTCTTTTTTGTTGGCTTTTCTTTCTTGTCTCCGTGACAGGCAAGTAAGGCACAGCGGCTGAACCCGATAGCGAGCATACCGGACAAGGTCGTTTCCCCCCCCGTCAACGCGAGGGAACATCTCGTCTCGGACCACGTGATCCCGCGCGTAGTGGAGGGGGTACGTACACACGCACACACTTGCTGCGTAGCCCCCCGAACCTCGAAAGCCCGGCAATATCGCTCCAATATCGCTCCTCCCCGGCATTGTAGGGGATGCGAGGTCAATGGTCGAACGGCATTGATTTTCTTGTGAATTCACCCCCCCCTACGCGCCACTCTCCCCCCCCCNNCATCCCCTTGCCGAATTCATGCACTGAGCAGTGGTCTCTCTTCCACGACCAGAAAGAAGAAGCTCGTGAGAAGAGCCCCCCCCCCGCGCGCGCTTCGATTGTCGTCGTAGTCGTTGTTGTTGATGTTGCTGCTTGGTGCTTGGTGGACCACCTATTGTGAGGATTGCCAAAAATATCGTCAGACGAGTATTCCCCCTCTTCGAACGATGTCGTCGTCGTCGTCGTCGTCGTCGTCGTTGCTGTTGGTTTTGTGCGGTGGGCATCTATGAGGAAGAAAAAATATATATCAGAAGATTAGGACCTCCTACGCAGGGTTTAACGAGTATCTAGAAAAATAGTAGGGAGGGGGCAAGCAGACCCTACCCCTAACTCGAACCCCAAAGCACGGATTGAACATTGAATGCTATGCCATAGGTTTGCTTATTCAATTGTGCTGCGCAGACTACTGGAAGATTATCTACCCCACCCCATCCACCCCATCCACCCCATGCACTTCATCGTCGCGGTCGTCGTCGTCGTCGTCGTCGTCGTCGTCGTTGTTGAACAGCCCCGACCCCGAGCACCTCCGAAGGGAAGCAACTCCAACGACAAGCGGCTGCTCGAGAGGTTCCACGTGTGCCCCCTCCTGTTTCGGGAGAGGATGGGGGCGACCAGCGCCGTGGGGCGGGGCAACCTGCCCACCACCCGCCCGGTGTACCGGTACATCTTTCTGTGCCCCGGCCAGGCGCAGGTTTTGGTGAGTTTGTCGTTTTTGTCATTTCGGGCCTTTGTTGTTGTTGTTGGTAAAGAGTATGTCTGCTGCTGGTTACCGTTGCCATCTCAACACGAATGCCGCCGCTTTAATGGCGCACGGGTGCATACTCTGTTTCAATTGTTCCACTGGGTTGTGCGGTTGATTTAGGTTAGTGTTTCGTGATAAACGGACACATGCAAGGGAATCACGCTGTATGCAGTTTCCGATCGCTGTTTTTTGTGTGAGGCGTTCGCCGGGCAACCAAGGTTCTGTTTACCAACAAGAACTCTATTCCCGCCTATCTAGCTTGTTTCCTTTGACTATGTTGTGCCCGTCCTGCCCGCCAACTGCCCCCTTCCTTGCTTTGCTCTCGTCTGACGTTTTCTTTTTCCCGCACCCGTTTATTTCGTGTGCGCGCGCGCGTGTGCCACGGCGACCGGCGTGCGTGCTTGTGGTCGGCCCATCTCGCCCTACCACACCTCTCACCACAAAAAGCCCCAGAACATCACCGGGGTCTGCTACTTCAACATGCGGGCCCAAGAAAAGGGGAAGGTGAGTGGGGATGAGTGGGGATGTACTGCCAGGTACTACGTTTCGCCGCCGAAGGGCCAGCCGAGTCGACGGGCCGGTCCCGGCTGCAGACCGTTTTTTTGGGGGGTGCGCGCGCGGGGGCGGCACGGGCGCTGTTGTCAGATCGTCAGATGATTGGGCTTGGTTTTGTTCCCAGCATGGACTCTGTCACCCAGAATTGTGCGACGGATGGAGCACACGGCGGGAGGTAGTGGGGTATTGGGATCCAGGGTGTCACCGCACACTCGCAGCGTGCACCGCTTGTTGAAGCTCCAGGTAGTCTAGAGCAGGACAGTAGGCGGGCACTCCCACCAGGGAACAGCGCCAGGAACGGCCCTCTCATGACGGCGTGACCCTGCGCCAGTCCCATAGCGGCGCCCATCCCGCGATGTGCACGCCGCCAAGCGACTTCCGAATCCTCGCGACATCCGCGGAAAATAGATCGATTGCTACTTCGTGTGCGTTCGGCAAGGTTGGCGCGATGTTCACAAAGCTTTTGCCGAACGCACAAGAAGTAGCAATCGATCTATTTTCCGCGGATGTCGCGAGGATTCGGAAGTCGCTTGGCGGCGTGCACATCGCGGGAATGGGCGCCGCTATGGGACTGGCGCAAGGTCACCCCGTCATGCCAGGTCCGTTCCCGGAGCTCTTCCCGCGTGGGAGTGCCCGTCCCTGGACTATGGGATCGGCCAGCGGCTTCCTTCTGCTCCCCCATTTTTTGTATAGCATGGTGTAAGAAGAGCTTTTCCGACTCCCGCGCACTCCGGTTAACCTTGTGCCCATCGTCCTCATCGTCGTCGCCGCCAACGCGGGGGTGTTTTTGGAATCAAACATATGTTGCCGGAACGGAACGGAACGGAACGGAACGGAACGGAACGGAACGGAACGGAACGGAACGGAACGGAACGGAATGGAACGGAACGGAACGGAACGGAATGGAACGGAATGGAATGGAACGGAATGGAACGGAATGGAATGGACTCCAACGGAACGGAACGGAACGCAACGGAACGGAAAACCGCAGGGCGTCATCCAGCGATCCTACAACGCGTACGCGGTGAGGGTGCGTGACACCAACCCTACCCCGGCCGTGGGAGGGATGCTGATGGGCGGACTTTCGCACGGTGGCGACAAGGGGGCCGGGACGCTCAAAGTCGTCCCGGCTAGCCAAACGACGGAGGGGGTGCTGTGCATAGAGATGCGCATCAGGCTGTACCACGACGGGGCCATGAGCAAGCTGCTGGAAAGGCTCGCGAAGGTGAGGATAAACGTCAAGCGAGAGCTTAAGTTTGTTGTCTGTTTAGGCGACTATTCGCCGCTACGTTGGCGGTGTTTTTCGGAGCGATAGCCTTGTCTGCTCGAAGTCCCCATGTATTTTCTCTCACTCTTTCTCTGTATCTCCCTCTCTCTGTGACACACACGCTCTTAGCGTACGTTCTGCCGCTCTTGCGACCAATTTTTCATCAAGGGGAAAATTCACAGCATGTGGCGAGTTTTTCATTTCTCTCTGAGCGCTCACACTTTGGGCCTCTCGTGTGTGGGTGGCTTTGCTAACACTAACGCCGTGCCGGTGCCTTCCGCGAACACGCACGCCTGGTACCCATAGGACACAGACAACCCCGCGGTACAGCTGCAGGGCCCCTTCGTGATCCAGAAGCTAGTCCCGCCGCCTGCGCACCGGAACGTCGTCATGATCGCCGCGGGCACGGGCATCAACCCAAGTACGTTTTGTGGAGTTGTTGGTGTCGTTGATTGGTGTTAATGGTGTTGCTGTTGCTGCTGCTGCTGGTGTTGGTGTAAGTGTTGTTGTTGGGATTTGGTGTTGGCATTTGGTTGGTTTTCTTTGAAGCAGGAATCCACCGCCTCGTGCATACCCAAACAGGATGATACAGAGTTAGGGTTCATTCCCCGTACGGATCCCCCCAAACTCACCTGCCCGACGTTATGGAGCTAGCTCACCGTTGCTTGCTCCTTCCCTCTGCCTTCGTCGTCTGCCCCTTCTCGTCCTTTTTTTTTTTTTTTCTCCTTTGCAACCGCCGCACGCACCATCACTGCATGGGCCTCGGACGGCGCTAACGCTGGCGGCGAAATTACAACGCTGGCGGTGAAATGCCATGGAATTCTCGATCGACGGGGTGGTGGTACTGGTTGGTGTCACTCCCGACCATACTCGTGGCGACGCCAAATCTCGTGGGCCGACCTGCTGCAACCTCGTCTGCGGTGGTACACGAAACCACAACCTACGAAACACACACCGCGCCGAACGGATCTGGTTTCTCGTCGACGGATCGTGCCGGTTCTTGTTCCGATTGCGCTGCGCTTGCGAAGTGGTGCAACAAATCCGAGACTACCTGGCCCTGCCGAGGTAAATGTTCACTCTTCATCTGCGTTTTTTTCCTGAACTTGCTGTTCACAAAAGAGAAACGCTTTTGTCTCGACACGGTTGTTGCTTCCACTCTACCTTTTTTGTGAGGCGTGTTTGGGCGCTGTTGCCAGCGCCGTTAGGAGAAACCACGAAACCACCAGCTTTCTCGAGTGCCCAAGAGTGACCTTGAGTTCGTTCCGTTTTGGACAGCTTTTGTCGGCGGACCCACCTTGGGTGGTGCGTCCCACGCCGCGTCGATCCACACCTCACCGTACCTGGTCGCCCCTGTTGTCGCTGCTGCTGCTGCTGCTGCTGCTGATGCTGCTGCTGATGCTGTTGCTGCAGAGTTGCCGCGCAGTCCTCGAGGTCTCGGCTGGCCCTGGTGTGGCAAGCGACAAGCGAGGCCGACCTCTACGGCTCTGAAGAGATGACGGAACTGCAGGTAGAATACGTGCGTCTATCGTGCACATAAAGCAGATAATGATGCTGTTCGATACGCTTGACCTGTTCGGCTATCCATACGCCTTTCTGCGTGCGGCAGTACAATTATTTTACGATACCCTTGGCCTGTGTGGCTATCCTGCCGACCGTGCGTTTTTCCTACCATGATTGCCGCCTTTGCGAGGTGAGTGAATGTCGATCGACAACGACGACGACAACAACAACAACGCCCCCACCCTACAATGGACCCCCTCCTGCCGAAATTTCACTGCCTCAATCGGTTACGTTATCCTTGATAAGAATCAATGTGTCTTAGGTACGCTCGAGTTGTTTGGGGTTCCCCGCGTTGGGATCCCCCCCCGCCCGTAACAGGCGAAGAGCAACCACGTGCTGATGTTATTCTTGATACGGTATATATATATTGTCAAGCGCTAACAGCCTTTAACGTACGCTCGCGTTGCTTGCTGGCGTTGCCGTTCCCCCCCCGCCTCCCGTCCATGGGCGTGTTATACTTGGCACGGAAAAAAAATGTCGTAAATTTGGCTCGCGTTGGTTGTTGGCGTGCTCGTGTCGGGTGCCGCCGCCTCCCCCGCCGCCGCCTCTCGCCGTTACAGGCGAAGAGCAACGGCCTTCTCGAGGTGACCGTGCTCATCAGCGGGGAGCACCGCAAGAGGAACATCCCCGGGGCCGCGTTCCGGAAGGGTGCCGGGAAGCTCCTGGCCAAGACCGGCCTCGTCTCTCCGGCGGCGGCGTCGCCCGCCAGCTCCTTCAGGACCATGCCGAGCGGGAGGCGAGTGCGTGTGTGTGTGTGTGTGTGTGTGTGTTTTTTTTGTTATAGTTATTATTATTAGCTTCGACCGCGCTAACCGGCTGACCAATGACAAGACGTCAGTCTTAGAGCGATTGAAAACACAAAACACTTCTATCTGCCATGAACTGGGACCTCGTGAGAGGGCAGCATGGGGGAGGCTAAACTATTCTTCGGATCAAAGACCTCATTGTTTGTGTGTGTGTTTTCTCCACTTAAAAATATGCGTTCGCCGAATTCGTCTGCGTTGCAGAAGCTCCGATACGCGGGTCACACGGAAGGTTCCTCTCCTTTACCCGCACCGTTCCTGCGGCGCTATTAGCTCAAGAGAAAGCACCCCCCCCCTGTGATGCAAGGTAGTGAAGCCTTGAGGTTTCGGAAACGATGTTCGCCTTGGGTGTTGTTGTTGTGCCAGGGGCCGTGGTGTATCGCCCGTCGCCCTGTTGCTCGACCTGAGGGTAGTCACATACTCTCTTTTTTTCGGGTCGGGTTCGTGTTGACCGCCGGTGGAATATTTCCACCATCGCGAAGTTGGTGGTCGTGTGTGTTTGGGGCTGTCTCTTTTCTTTTGGCGGGGGGGGGTGTTATCTGGTGTCGTATGTGGCGGTGGGTGGTGGGTGTCGAATGGGGGCCAGTTTTTCGGATTGGTGCTGGTGTGATGGCTCGCTAGTATGATTGTGTACAATTATTGATGGTAGGTTCGTGGCCGGTGTGTTTTTGCTCGCCTGAGCCTTTGGCCGGTCATGTGTGAACGTTTCGGTGTTACGCGATCCGCTTCGTCTTTTCCTTTCTTTTGTTGTTGCTCGCCCGGTTTTCGGTGTGCGTTTCCGCCCAATCTCTCTCCGTCTCTCTCGGTGTTCGTATTTGCAAACAGTGTTTTTTCGTCATTTGGTTGCGGACACAGCCACAGCAACGGCAACAACCAAACAGCTGTAGTTGAGCAAACCATTCTGATCCCGTGATGCCCCGCACGCGCTCATTCGTGCGTGTAATCGGAACCCGTCAACCTCTTGGGCTCAGGCCGTCCGGCAAGAACTCCGTCAGCTCGATCAAGTCAATCAACGAGACCTCGTCGGTTGTCTTTCCGGAAGACAGCGACAAGGGAGCGCGGGGGGTGGAGATCTCGACCGGGACTAGCATTCTCTCCACTGTACGGCGACACTTGCGAACGAGTGAAAGAGTAAGTAGCAGCGTGCTGAGCGAGAGCGTGAGTCTAAAATATAGCGTAGTTTAGTTGTTCATTTCGTCCGTCTCCTTGATTTTGCGTCAGTTGCCTGTTGCCAACTTTTCATCTACTGCTTGCGACGTACGCTTGAACTTCTCAACACACCACCGTTTGTCGGCACGTCTGGATATGTGTTTTTCATGCGTACTTTCCCGCAGTTTTTCTCCGTCCGTTTTTTTCCCCCTCCATTGCCTCTTAAGCGGTTGCTATCCTCCTCATCTCGTCGAGATTCTCTCGGTCACTACTATCCTTCGTTTTTTTTTGTGCCCCCCGTGGATTCGTCGCTTGGCAACGACGTTGTAATAATGGCCAATTCACTTCGTGAACTCGGCAACCAGGTTACCGTTTGTTTTTTTACCTCTTTTTTTTTCTTGGCGGTACCCATAATGGTCGTCGAGTGGATCATGTTGTGCGGGGTGGAGAATCCTCACTCCGCGCAAGGGGGAAGACCGCACCACGTTCTGTCAAATGGTCAAGCACCCTCGACGCAGTTACACAGTGNTTCGCGCTTGGTGATGTGAGAGCCTGGTCCGGTGAGAACCCGGCGTGCTCCGTCCCGGCTTTGTAGGGATGCGAGGTCAATGGTCTAACGACTACGGCATGCACGACTATGAGTACACCCCCCCCGTGGTTTATCCTTGTGACACGCAGCCTGGGCCGACGAAACCCTGAGTATCACCCCTTCCCGGCGTTGTATGGATGTAAGGTCGGCTGAGGTATTCGTTTACATCTGCACGTACACACAAACACACCGCGCTCAATGGCCTTACAGCTACCTTACAGCTACAGCATGCAAAACATGAGTACACCCCCCTGCGCTGTTTTGGTCGATTGCTACGACTACGGCATGCGTTTGCATGAGCACAAACACACAACGCGCTCAATTGTCTAACAACGAAAGCATGCAAAACAGCCCCCCCCCCCCCCCCCC